CTCGCTGGAACTGTACCAATCCTTCAAGACCCACGGAAGCTCCTTTTCCACAAAGCTTTCCCTCACTGCCACAGCCCCCAGGGACCGCCCCCACCTGACTTCTTGATACTCGAGCTCTGTGTGCCTCTGCATCCATCCACTCGGGCAGACCCAGTGCCAAAGGCAGGGGGCTCAAACAACAGACACGGATCATGTCACAGTTCTAGAGGCTGGAAGTCCAAGATCAAGGTGTCGGCAGGGTTGGTTTCTCTCTCCTGAGGCCCGTCTCCTTGGCTCGTGGATGACTGTCTTCCCTCTGTGTCTCCTCATGGTCTTTCCTCTGTGTGTGTCTGTGTCCAAGTTCTCTCTTCTTATAAAATCACCAATCCAAAATAAAAAAAATAATAAAAAATAAAAATAAAATAAATAAAATCACCAATCCTAGTGGATTAGGAACCACCCTAATGACCTCATTTTAACCAAAGGGTCTCTTGAAAGACCCTGTCTCCAAACACGGTCATATTCTGAGGTGTTTGGATTAGGACCGGGGACACCATGCAGCCTGTAACAGCCCCTCCCTGAGCGTGCGGTCATCACCTGTCAAGTCCTTCCAGCTGCCCGCACTCTGTGTCTCCCGGGGACTGTCTTCTCGTTGAGGAAGCATCATGTCCTAGGTCACTCACGCACCCCTGCGGGGCTTGAGGCCTCACTCGGAGGACAGCATGAGAAGGATGTAAACAGGGACCTCACCCTAAATCAGCTGCTTATGGATTAATCAGGAAGATGGGGCAAAACACTTGTGGGCGGGACAGGGAGAAGCACCAAGACTGAAGTAGCAGAGAAAGCACCGTAGGGGTTCTGAGGATTTTAAATGCCGAAAGAGTAGTAGGAGAGCGTGACCAGCATAGCTCCCCAAGCATGAACGACCCTGGAGAAGGCCAAGTCCGTCTCCCAGAGCACCGGTTTCCAAAGAAGAGAAAAGCTGCAGGCCCCAGCTGGGTGGGCGGCCGGCCGTCTGGTGGTGTTGGCCGTGCTGATCCCTAGGCCTGCCTGCGCTCACCTTCCCCTTAGAGCGAACAGAGAGTGTAACCCTTCGCACTCCCTCATTCCACAGCCTGGAAGTGTGTACCCCCAGCAGGGACTGTGTCACACTTGACAATTTCAAATACTTCAAGAGGTCCCGTTTTACATTCGCTCGTGTTCAAATGAAGGCTCGCAATGGTTATTTTATTCGCTACATTACATTTTTCCTCTGCCCCTTCTTTCCTCGTTCCACGTGCGCCCAGGGTAAGCTTATCCCCACTCACAGATTTTTGGACCGTGATCCTACAGCTAAGCCCGTATCCAACTGTCCAGCCCTCGCCTCCTCCCCTGGTTCAGACTGGTACTGCCAGCTTTCAGCTGGGCATCTCCGTTTCGATGTCCAAGACAAACGAAATTCCACTTGCCCCTCCCCCTTCCTACCTGCTTCTCTTTTGCCCTTGTCTTGCACCTTAAAGCCTGAGGTGGTGGCTTTCTTGCAGCCACCCCACCCCCCAGCATGAACACACAGTACGCTGCATGCACCTCCAGGCCTGTGCCCATCAACAAGAGTCTGGATGTTTTTAGACAGAGCTCTGTGCCGTTCACTTTCCCCTTCCTGAGAGGACTGCCATCCTCCGCCCCTCGCTGCTCCACATTCACGGTCTGAGCGCCCAGGAGGGTGAGAGCCCCCCGAGGAGATCCAGGCCTGTGCCACCTGTGCCTTCCTCCATCCCGGGCACTGGTGCAGAGGGTGCTCCGCAGGACGCCCCTCCCTCTTCAGCGCCCCTGCTTCTACTCCTTGAAGCCACAGAGTGTTAAAGTTGTGTTTTTAAAATCTCTTTAAAATCTCTCTCTCCCCTCCTTCGGATACTCGGTGTGTGCTGGGCTGTAGAGTGAAGAGCGTGGGGCGCGCTGCAGGCGGCCGGTCCCCGGGGAGGTGCTCGGGCTGGGACAGGTTGAGTGGGCACAGATAGGTTGTGAGTCTGGGTGCTAAGCCTGGGCTAAGCTGAACCTGGGCATTTTCCCCAGGGCCACACCACAGGCCGAGTGGGAGGGCACCGTCTGCCTGTGTCTCTGACGGGCCAGGGACAGAGCTCTTAGAGCTGGGAGAGGCTGCTCATCACCTCCAGAGGACAGTGCACATTCCTCAGCCAAGGTGTCCCCAGATGCGAACTTCTGGCTGTGTTCCCTACACCTGCATTTCCCACTGTACCTGACTGCTAGCTCGTGGCCTTGTGAAGCCCTGGAAACCCCTTAGCAGACACCCGTGACTCAAGGCTCTGTGTTGTGGCTGTGGGGACAGGTTTCCTGGAAGCATCTTGGTGCCATGAGCTGAGTTCAGGATGGGGGGACGGTTAAACCTGGTTCTGCCAGGGTTGCCCTGTGGCTTTGGCCACATACCTGTGATGTCCTGAGCCTCAGTTTCCCATCTTGGAGATGAGGCAGCGATACCTCGTTCAGAGGATTTTTCAGAGGATCTCATGTCACAGAGGCTGGTTAAGGTTTCCACATGGTGCTAGCCAGTATCAGCACTCAGGAAATACCAACTTGCTTTGCTCCATCTAAGGCGTCAGGACTGAATTTTCTAGATGGGCACTGGGGGGTGGCATTTTTGCAGTGTGTGTGTGTGTGTGTGTGTGTGTGTGTGTGTGTGTGTGTGTGAATGCAGATTAAAAACTGTTTCCTTGTCTGTCTGAATTGCCTCAGCATATGGTCGTGAATTTTCCCTAAGTTGTTTCTGAAAGTGGAAGTGAGCAGGACTCCAGGGCTGCCCCTCCCCACCTTTGAGCACAGCCTTGAGTCCTGCCAGCATCTTGTGGGGGGTGGGAGGGTGGGGGGCGGGGTAAGACACAGATCGCCAGCATGGGCCCCCCACCCTGAGGTTCTGATTGAGTAGGTCTGGGTGGGACATGATAACGTGCATTTCCAGTCAACACCCAGATGAATTGATGCTGCTGTGTCGGGACCACACTTGCAACCGTTGCCCTCAAGAATACGAGCAACACCTCTGTACGTTGTTTAGAGACGGCCACTCTTCCCTTTGGAGGGCCTCACCCGGGACATGTTACAAGTAGCTAAATGTCAGCTTATTTGGCATTCCCCCCGTTGTCAGTGCCAGTGTGACCTGTGGAAGTGTTTCTCGGGTAGCCTTGTTCAAAGCCTGCTTCATAGCATGCCTGTCCTGTCAATACTCTGATAACAAGTCCCGTAGTCAGAGAAGTCAGGCCGTCGTCCTCCTGTGGTCCTCGGCTGGGAACCTACCACCTGGCCGGAGACAGCCACGCGACCCCACGTGCAACCCTGTGCGCCGTGCCGTGGGAAGTCTGTGAAGACAGCAAGTCAACGGGGTGGGAGAGGAAACCCGCTCCAGTGGTGGGGTTTCTCGAACACGTCACCTATTTACCCCTTCTTCTCTGGGAGTACATTCTGTTTGGGTCTTGACCCTTGAGCCACAGTTACACTGTCTTAACCACACTGTTGCGGGATCTCGTGAAACTGGACTTTTGTCATCGGCCCTCGCACGTGGTTTGCCCGACTTTTCATAGGAATATGTGTACACATCTGAATAGCAAACCTAAGAAAACTAAGAAACTTGTGCAGTAGAACTTCACCGTCTGTATTAATTCTAGTGAGTGGTAGGGTGATAGACTGTTTAAGTTTCCAAATTATAAAATATTTATTAAAAAATAGTGTATTGTTGGGGCACCTGGGTGGCTCAGTTGGTTAGGCGACTGCCTTCAGCTCAGGTCATGATCTCAGGGTCCTGGGATCGAGCCCCACATCGGGCTCCCTCCTCGGCGGGAAGCCTGCTTCTCCCTCTCGCACTCCCCCTGCTTGTGTTCCCTCTCTCGCTGTGTCTCTCTCTGTCAAATAAATAAAATCTTTAAAAAAAAATAGTGTATTGTTCCTTTCGTGATCATACAGTAAGTCGGACTTGCCTAATTAGTGCTGCCAGCAAATTCTCATAGAGGAGACGTGGTAACGCATCAGTAAGACTTATTGTAACAAATACATCAATATTTGTGTATAAATTTTCATTGTAGGGTGCTTTGGGTTTCTTCCCCAAACCTTATTTTCTTAAGGGGTTAAGATTCTTCCTACCGTCTCGTCTGTGTTGCTTCTGTGTCCCCCATTTCTTCTAACGAACACAAACTTCAATTAGTGAAACCCAACCAAGTAAGGTTTCACTCTATTGGAAAAACGACTCACATGAGCACACATGAGCAGCACCCCTCCCGCCCAGCAGGTGCCCTGCATGTCTGGTCTAAGGACATTTGACTGTGGTCAGAGCCTTAGCTCTTTGTCTCTAAACCCCATTCCTGCAGTTGACCTATAACACAAGGGTTGCCTGCATGACCGTACTGTGCCTTTTGCTCATTGGTTACGACTACAGGGAAAAATGGAAGCATGGGAGGGTTTATCTTTTAATGCATTCCATCAGAGAAAAGTGTGTTTTCCAAACTGTGGGTTGTGGCCCATGGGTGGATCATGAAGTCAGTTCAGTGGGTGGAGACCAGCATTTTTTTTTAATGGACTTCGAGCAGAAAATATCAGAGTGCATTCCAGGCCGTAAGAGTCAGACTGTGTTCTGTGTATGTGTGTCTGTCCGTGCACTGGGTCACAGAGTTAAAAGATCCAAGTTTTTATTGTGGGTCATGTCAAAATATGGGACAGCCATTTGAAAGAACATAGCTCAAGCAATTCCAGATAGAAGAGAATGACTAACTTAAGATGAAACATGTCTTCCTTAATGTCATACTTTGGGCCCCTGCGCCCCAAATCCTCTCTGGGCTTTGGCGGTGCCACACCCCTGTGACCCACCTGCCAACTGAGCTCCAGCAACCCCGAGTTTGTACCCTCGGTGGAATTCCTTCGCACTGTTAAAGGTTGATTCGTGCTTCGGGGTAGCATCCAGGTCTTGGGACCCAAGAAGACAGAGCTGCCCCCAGTCTGCTCTCCCTGGCCCCTGGCCCACCTTGTGTGCGGCGCTCACTCACCTGACAGATACCCCTCCTTGCTCAGCTAAGTGCTCTTCTTTCCGAGCTCAGCGGAAACATCACGCTCTTCCAAACCGGCGCCCCCTGCTGTTCATACTCCTGTAGCACCTTGTCCTTCCTGGTCCCAGCTCTTTGCCTGGATGGAGGCTTTCAGTTTCCTGTTATTTGTTCCACGGTGGCCCCCAGCTTCCTCAGACGTGTGCAGCCTGGCCCACTTTCTCAGAGGCAGATTGCTGGCTTCTCTTTAAAGCCCCCTATGACCTCTCCATGTAGGTTTTGGACTTAGCCTGTCCCTTTGCATCTTACAGTTGTGGGAATCCCGATCAGGAAAGGGGAAATCACTTGGCCAGGGTTCCGTGGTTAGGGGAACATGGGATGATTTGTATTGTTCCCGAAGAAAGACCGGAACTGTCCGTGCATCGGGGTTCCTGACCTCTCAGTGCTTTTGCCCACACCTGTCTGGGACCTGCAGTGTAGCATTGACATGCACACAGCTGGTGGCCTCTTAGATACAATTTAGTTTATTAAATTCAGATAAGCATTTTCATGCCCCTAGCTGCCATTCTCAAGTTAGTAAAAGTGTGTTCTGGATAAAATTCCATTATAGTTTTGTCTCTCAACTATAAAAAGAAATTCTCCCTAGAAAAAATGTTTCTTATCTGCCCGGTCATTGATTGGTAAAGTTAGTCTTAACCAGCCCGTCTGATTTTCTTATAAACCCAGCAACACTTGGGTGAATTCACACAATGGTGCCTTAGCCAAAAAAGGCCTTGAAGGAGTTTAAGGTTTGGACTCTGAAAAGCACCAGCTGCCATTAGGGGCCCAGGCTCCTGAGCTGGGATCCTGGCTCCCCCTCTTACTGGCTGTATTGCCTTGGGCAGCTTACTAACCCTCCCTGTGCCTTGGTGTCCTCATCTGTAAAGTGTGAGTGATGTTAGCCCTTACTGAGCAGGCTGTCGTGAAGATTACATGAGTCGATGTGTTGACAGCACCTGGAAGCGCAGAGTAAGAGAGAAGCACCTAGAAGCGTAGAGTAAGAGAAACATTAGCTCTCATTAGTAGTATTCCATTATGACTCTGTCTCTCTTATTTTACAGTCAAAACCCTGGAACTAAAAGTAACCCTAATCCTCTGTAAGGGGCTAGAATATTTAAGGCCCAGGGTGTTTAGAAGGACGCCTTTGCCTGTTCTCTCTGTGTAATGCATTCTGCATGGAAGGTGTGACGGGAGCCAGGTGGTCAGTGCCACTCCCAGGAGCTGCAGGCCCGTCAGGCTTTAGGGCGTCTTTCCAGCGTCGCACTTTCTCATAGAATTGCTGATGCTGAGCTAAGCTCAGACTCCCAGTGCAGCGTTTGGAGGTGACTGTGGCCACTTCTTCATCCCACCTCACAATGCATGTTCGAGAATGCTTTGCTTCCAGGGAGCTCACGTGACTTCAAGGGCAGTAACTGCCCAAACGAATGTCACTTTGGGCTGGCTCACTAATCTTCCACCAAGGGCACTTGGTCCGGCTCCCCCACCTGACCAAGGATTTCAGAACTTCTAGAATTTCCTAACACATGCGTCCATTAAAGAATTGCAGAGGGAAATCAGACTGCAAAAGTATGACTTCACCTTACTTTTACATCTGCCTTCCCATCCCCTTGCTCGTAAAAAATTGTACTGAGTTGGAAAGGAAAATCAGAGGAGAGCAGAAGGTGTTTTAGACCGAAGTTGAGTTCCCCTTACTTCGTTAAGAATGCCCACTGTCCACCAGGTTTTGCAGACAATGCAGGCCAGCAAGGGCATCGGCCCTGGAGGGGACGCTCTCGTCCCACCACAAATGACAAGGCACCGGCGTCAGAGCCGGAGACACAGCCCTGCTCTCAGACAGCAGTGGCGCGCTCAGGCTCGTCCATCCAGGGACCCCACAGCCCGTGGCCTGGAGGGAGCCGGCGGTGGAGGTGGAGGAACGGGAGGAAGATGGAGAAATGGATTCCTTAGGGTCTCCTGATCATCGCAGTGGGTTCTGTTTCAGCCTTCCAGGGAAAACACTTTCCCAAATGGATAAGCTGCTCTCGACTCCATGTAAAATCATACATTCAGCAGTGAAACTGGCCTTTAATCAGTGTCGCAGAGTGTGTCGATGCTAATCTGCCCCCAAGGGGTTCCAGATTCGAATGCGTTTAGGAAACATGGGTTCAATGAAGTTAATCCGCTTTCCACAAGTTGTCTCTGGGCCCTGGTATCTGAAGGGCATTTAAATTCTCAGGAAGAGGAGACAGGAACAGTGGTGCCAGAACTGGATTGACCAAGGTCACACAAATCACGTTGCAGGACCAGAGACGGACTGATCAGACTCGGGGCCACAGTCCAGAGGGCTGTGCATGTGGCAGGTGTCAGGAGGACAGTTTGCCGGAGAATTTGAGGACCTGGGTTCTTGTCCCAGCTCCACCTCCTCCCAGGCCCCTAACCACGGGGGGCCGTGGCCGCCTCTGCAGCTCGGCTGCTTCCTCGTGTGAAAGGAGACCAGGGCTTCCCCGGGGCCGGCCGCCCTGCAAGCCCGCAGTGAAGACACTGGAACGTGGGCAAAACACGCTCTGCAATCAGCAAAAAGCCTGCAGGTGGAAGACAGAGCGTTTGTACACTGTTCTGTCTTCCAGGAGAGGACTGGGGGCAGCTGACCACTGGGGAGAAATTCTCGGCTTGCATTTGTTTTCTTCTGCCTTGCCGAAGGTTTTGCTTACGTGCATGAATCATATTTACTCTGTACCGATAAATGTGGAGCTGCCCGCAGCTTCTCCGTGTAATCCCAGAGTAATGCCTTTGATACTTTCCACATCTTGACAGCTGTGCTCTGTTTCTTCCAAACCCATTCCTCTTCCTTGTTGCTAGAGGGAGTGGTAGCCAGAGCTTGGTGGGAAGCCGTCATTGGAAAATGCCTAGCTGTCCCCAGAACAAGCAAAATGCATAGTCCAAAGGCCTCAGAAAACTGCAAAGGTTTTCTATCTTCATGCTAAAACTCCTTCGGTGGCAAAAATTGCTATTTATAGTCCTTATTTATCCTACTTAGTGTAATACCCAGACATTTTGCTGTAGAAGATATTAATGGGTTTAAATACGGGGTGTTGCCCCAGACCGCTCTGGGAGCCGTCATTATACACGATCTCTATAACATGTTGTCTTTTATAAAATTTGGGGGGAAAAATCTGAATTCTGAAACCTGTCTGGCCCCAAGGGTTCCAGGTAAGAGGTCAGGGGCTACCATGGGAACTGAGGCACAGAGCACATTCGACGATGAATGGCACCCACACTGGCCAAGGGTTTGAGGAGCCGGCCACGCTGTTGCTGGATCAAGGTGACAGGCGGCCACAGCCATGCAAGCGCTCACCACTTCTGTGGCTCCTGGCGGGATGCCTCCCTCCTCCCTCCTGTTGCTGCCCTCTTAAAGCCATAGACAAGGCGGTGCCAGGCCCTGGACCGCGTAGTGGGGACCCAGCTCTCTCCTCCATCAGGGCTCTTCCAGAGGCCGCCAGGAAGAAGGCTCCCTGGGACCCCCCCCCCAGGCTGTTCAGTAAAGCAGCAGTTGGGGCATGGGAAGCTCACTACCACCAAAAGCCTGCAGTATTTCATGAGCCTTAGAAATCTCGTTGTACCCATCCATTATAAATTATTGAATTAGCACTGCAAATTTATAGCAACTTCTTAATAGTTTAATAATTTACTCATCCCTTATGGATCCTTTGGTATATTTCTTTTAATTGGTGGAGAAAAGAGTCCTTTTACAGCTGACTTCCTTTGCTCCTCCCTCGGTGATGCTTCCAGAATTCCAAAACAGAATCCTACACAACTGTTCCTAAGCGTAAAGTACCTGACGCCCAGCATATCGACCTGTCCACCTGAATGGAGGCCGGCGCTTACTTCCCTTTGCCTGCACCCGGGGCTGCCTCACTTCAGAAGCCAGCCAGCCAGTCTCATCCCAGCCCCAAGACTCAGGTCACTGGCATTTAGTGTTGACACTTGGGTTACATGGATTATGAGACCATAAAGGGACCTGACATCATGAATATTGTTTCTAAGGGGGAAGAAGTCTTTCCACGTGCAAATAAGTGACTGCTCTGTTTTGGAGCCCTCTCCTTTGTGAGGTGCAAGCTGCCGCCCTGAAGTGGGTCATTCCTCACCGAGCCCCGTATTTCCCTCATGCCCGTCGGTGCTTGGTGATGACAGGAAGTCAGTAGAAGCAGGGCCCGTGTCCTAATATGGACTCATGCAGATGAGCAAACCCGCTCATTAGGGGACGGCTGTAGATAAGGGAGAAGTCCCTGGGTCCTTCAGGCATTTGAGAATCCAGCTGAGGGGGGGCAAAGCCTGCTAGACTGTCCTTGTTAAGGCGAGGGAGGGTGGCTGCGTATCTTTATCTTCTCCAAGTTCCTGAGAAAATGCCTTGGACAGTGTAGTCCCTTTTGCATGGAGCTGAGCTTTCGTCATGGATGAAGTCACACTTCATCAAGAAGACGCTGGTTTCTTTCCACGAGTGGCTGCTTTTGAGCCTGGGCCTCAGTCTGGTCACCTGTACATTTTGAACCACTCTAGATTTTTAGGGAAGTATGGCAAGAGTCCCGCAAAGAAATCCAGCCCTTGTTGGCACCTACCAGGAATCGCCATATAGAAAGGTGGGGGGTGGGGGGGCGTCTGTTAAATTTCTTAATTCAGACTCTTGAAAACGGTTTTAAGGAGGACGTATCCTTCCTTCTCCTTTTTCTGCCCGCAGCACGCTGATCATTTAAGATTCCGCGGATTGTTCCATTACCATTCTCAAGTTTGACGTGAGGTGATCTAAAAAAGTGCCTCTTGGCCTGAGTTCGCTCTTAATAGGGAGAAAACTATGGACAAGTTCGAGATTAGTCTGGCAGTCACCAGAGGAACATCCCGGTAGCTTGGGAACCCCAGGTTCCCTGCCGATCCCCAGCTCACCTGGAGCAGCTAGATTGGTAGGTAACAAAAATAAATGCACCTGATCTCTAATCACTCCCGTGCAAGCCTCTGAGGCTCTCCGCGCATGAGGAGTTACATGCATTTCCGAGACATGAGCAACAAACAGCCCCAATTAAACCCCCAGGTGGATTTGCTCCTGTCGCTCGTGCAGACCAGGCCAGCCACGCGTGTGGCTTTAACGGCATTTGCTGAGGCTCTTTGTGCACCAGACACTGCAGGTGCTGAGAACAAGTTCAACCACCGCCCTTGACTTTGAAGGGGAGCTGGGTGTGCAAGAGCCTATGCTGCACAGATAAGTGGGAAGTTTTTGTAGGAACACAGCTGAAAACCTGCTTCAGCCAGCGGATCGGGGAAGGCAATGGAAAGATAACATGGGAGCAGGCCTTTGAGGGAGTAGTTACCAGCCGGCTCGGTGTTCAGGTCATGCAGGCAGCGACGCCTGGGTGACTCGGTTGGGTGACTGCCTTCAGTTCAGGTCACGATCCCAGAGTCCCGGGATCGAGTCCCACGTCGGGCTCCCTGCTCAGCAGAGAGTCTGCTTCTCCCTCTGACCCTCCTCCCTCTCATGCTCTCTGTCTCTCATTCTCTCTCTCGCAAATAAATAAAATCTTAAAAAAAAAAAAAAAACTTCTTTAAGATGGTGCTCCAAGTTAGTGTTCCTATTCCCTCTGCACCTGCCTTTGTGAAACAAGCAGCATCGATGGAAATGATTTTGATCTGGGTGCTTCGTTCACGTTCACGTATCTCATTCAGAATACCGCCCCTTTGTTTCCTGGGGGAAGCCTCAAGGTAAGGGGCTGCTTTAGGTCCCTGTCATGCCTCCACTTACCCAGGCAGGCTCCCTGCTCCACATGGGTGTCACCTTTCCTTGGGGTCCCTCCCTCTGGTTTCCAAGGTGACGGCTTGATCATCAGATGCTTCCCTGAGGCTGTGGAACAGCGCAAACACAGGGGATTTACACCTGCTACTCCTGGGGCCACAGAGTTTCTGGAATAGCCCTGCTTTCAAATATTCTCTCCCACTGTCCACATAAGGATTTCCATTTGTCAGGCAGTGTGTTCTGGTTTTGGATAACAAAATGCAAAGCAATCGAGTTATCCTACCTGTAAGGTAGGGGCCCTGGGTTCATTGGCAAGTCTGTCTTGAGTTGCAGTCCACCGTGGAGAGCCCCGGGGCCCTCATGCAAGTTAGACTCCAGGAGGGCAGGCAGGCCCCCGTCTGTGTCTTCGGTATCCAGCCCTGTGGCTGCCCCCAGTGGTTGCTCAGAAAACATTCATTCGATGCAGGGGCCCAGGCACGGTGGTAGCCATGCAGAGACCTGCATACGCAGACCTGCCATGCCCCGGCCTCTGCACGGTCTTGGGCCCCAGCTGTGTCACATCGAGCTCCCCAGCCAGAACCTACTCTTCAACTGAAATGTCCACCTCTCCCAACCCTAACAAATTCCCCCTTCTGCGGGGCCATCGGGGTTAAAGGAAAAAGAGAAAAAGGCCCCATCTTCCTTTCCCCAGCCTTGTTTGCATTGCATTCTAGATCATTTACATTTGTTGTGATTCGCCACTGTCACTGACCCCCCACTGTCATTGACCCGTCTCCTGTGAACTGTAACTGTGCTGTTCCTACATGTTGCCTCACTCCCTCAGAATAGGTGGGCCTTAGGTGTGAATTTATTTGCCTAACCGTGGTGGGGGGAAGGCAGGCTCTGGTATGAGGCTCCATTCATGCATGCCGTCTCAAAGCAAGGATTATAAAATCGAAGTTCTCCTTTGATTCCCTTATACATAGCTTTTTCCCCTCGAAGCACATCACATCCAGCCTGCCGAGAGGTCAGCCAGGGTGTCTCAGCGGGGGCCTCCCTGTTTGTGGCTATGGCCACGGACGGTCTCTCCTTGGTCTCTGTCCTGACCCCACCTGGCCACATCCACGTCATGGTCCTCGAGCAAAGCCTTAGCTTGCTGGGAACCATCCTCCAGGCACCAGGATGTGCTCCTTCATTCTTCCTTTTACATGTAGGATAGCTGCCACCCTGTCGCACGCCCCCCCCCCATAACGTGGCCTAGAAAGCTCTGCTTCAGTATACACACCTAGCTGGTAACGGTTCTCTCCTTGCATCATACCTTGTATGTGCAGCATGCCTACCATCATGTGGAGCTCACTTGATCTTCCCCAAATTCCCATGAGCTTCGGAGGGGGTAGTTAGCTCCTTGTTTCAGATAAGGAAACTGAGTCTCAGGTGCCTGGGTGTCAGTTTGAATGCGTGCTTTTCTGTCTGCCAGCCCCTTGGAGCCGCCTCTCCTTCCAGTTACCTGGTTCCCTTTTTAATATGAGGCTCAGTGAATGCTTCATTGGTGGGGAAGGCAGGTTATCTGGCTGTCCCCGTGGAAGGAAAGGAAGGGGGCGCCACGGGAACACTTGGAAGGAGGCAGTGGTAACGGGAGCTTTGGGCCCGGGGTCCAGGGCGGCATGCATTGGCGGCTGGCTTTGTCTCATGCCCCTGGTCTTCCTTCGCCACCTGAAGTCCTTGTTCGCCAAGTTCAGGGAGCTTCTCTGATTCCCCACGTGTCCCCAGGAGCAGCCCTGGGGAACTCAGCAGCCTTGATGGAGGATCAGCCCATGGAAGTTCCTCCTGTCGATAAGGACGAGAACGTGCTGTTTTGTTCTGGTTGCCACAGAGACCAGCCACCTTGAAACAGGGATAACCCGTTCCTGGAAGAGCACGATGACCTGTGTTCTGCCTTAGCTTTTGGCAAACCTCACGGGAGTACCCCGTTGGCCTCTTGATGACAATCGCCGGGGGGGGGGGGCGGTGCGCCTGGGTCCAGCGCTCTGTTGTCTTTCATCTCTAGCCAGCCAGCCCCTAGTGTGGCGTTCAGGACAACGGGTGAGCCCCAAACACTCGTTAGCGGAGAAGAGCCGGTGATGGGGAGCACAGGCAAGCCCCGTGTCCCTCCCGCTACTGAACAGCAAGAGGCAGGAGGTGCACCAGATGTAGCTCATCGCTGCCTCATTTTGAAGCATGCTTGGTACTTTCAGACATCTATCTGTTGAGTGAGTAAACAAGTGACACCAACAGATAAACAGACCACAAATAAACCTTAGGACCCCGAAGACATGAATTTCCCTGGGAGTGACCTGGTCGCCAAGACCAGAGCATCATGACTATTCAATGTCAGGGAGTGAATGAGGACTTCAGTCACTGCCCAGGGTGCTTTTCTCACATGCAGCCTGCCGAGAGGTCAGCCAGGGTGTCTCAGTGGGGGCCTCCCTGTTTCTGGCTATGGCCACGGGACGGTCTCTCCTTGGTCTCCGTCCTGAGACCCGGAAAGGACCCTGATGTTCGTCCATACCACGGTCCATCCCTACTGTGCTCCCGTGCTGTTCGGATACTCTGGAGCATCTGCTCTAAGCAGGTGCATGAGGGTGGGGTTCTCACCATTGATTGAATGTGATTGAATGCACGTCCTCCTAACTCACCAACTGGTTTGTAACAGTAAAGCCGAATTAGAGGTGGGCTTAGGTTTCTGTGCACTTGACCTTGCTCCTCTTTATCTGTTAATTCCTGAAAACGCATGAGGGTGCGCTGTGACCTGAGGAGGTTCCAAGAGCTAGTGTTTTTAGTCTGGCAGTAGCTGCATTTGCAAATCCAGAGACCCTTGAAGGCAGCAGCGTATCGTGTCGGCCCGGTGAGCGGGGGGCTGGGACTGCCGCTATCAGCCCACCAAATCCCTCCCTGCCAGGAGTTTGGAGAGTGGATTAAGGATATAATTTCAGGCCAATCCAGCAACAGAGAAATCCAAAAGCTCTTGTCCATCGTGCCATGTACCTGACTTTAACCTAAGCTGTGTTCAGTCCTCCCACGGCGTGTTTTGACTTTTGCTAGATGCAAAGCTCCCATGGCCAAAAGTCTCCTGAGAGCAAGTGAAATCTGGCATCTCTCCTCTTTTATTGTTGGGGTCTCAACAAAAAACATCCTAGCACTGGATGGCCCCGTTTCAGGTCAGCCACCTGTACATCTGGAGATGGAAGGAGACCCAGGCCGGATGCGTTGCTGGTGTCTGTATTTGATTTAATGTCTGTGTGTACTTCATCCTAATAGAAATTCTGTTAGCAGTTGTCAGATTTTTTTCTACTTACACAGTCATTTTCCTATTTAAAGCGATAGCAGCTTTAGAAAACACATACCTCGTACTTTGAGCCACAGACACCCTCCTCCCAAACTCATATCATTGTAAACATGACCCATGACCCTAAAACAGACGACTAGATCTGATTGCAAACTACAGACAATAAATACTTTAACTCTAGCAGCCACCAACTCAGCACTGACTATTCACTGGCGACCCACCTCCAGCAAACATCTTCCAATAATGTAGCCTTGGAGCTAACCAACAGGCAAGCTTTTCTTTCCAGCATCTCCTACATTACCACGTGGCAAAACAGATTTTTTTTTGTTTGTTTATTTTAAAATTTAGCCCTTGCCTTTAATGATAATCTACATTCTTCCTAAAAGGTAACTTCCTGGAACATTTAGCCACATAAAGGAGGCAGTCCTTTTTTTTTTCCCTTCCCTATGCGGTTTGAATAATACAGGGTGCTGTGAGTAAGGCAGGCAGGGGCTCAAATTCTTTGGCACTGGGGCCTTTTCTCTCTGTAAAAACCCTCCATTCGTACCCCCATGGCAGTATGT